GTTATTTATGAGATTACGGGTGACCTAAGATTTTCTGTTATCCCCCACCCCCTAAAATATTAGCTAATATATGTCAGTGCCCTTACTCAAATTAGGATTTACATTAACAATTACCACAATTATCACAGGGAGAAGTTGTATCTGTGACCATGCATAATATTTGAATAATGTTTGCTGCAAACATTTATATTTTTGAAGGTTTTGTTCAAGGTGAACTTTCCTTTGAATGTTTTCATCTTCTCCAACATCTCCTCTTGATCACAAAATGATCCTGTAAAGTAATTTAAATTCACTTCTTGAAAATAAATAATATTTTTTGATAGTGCAAGCATGCAATCCAAGTTTCCTAACTAATAGGTTATTTAAAGCTCAACATACAGCCTACCTGCTGACTTACAGTTGATTCTATTGTTTGACACACAGCTTACCCTTGACTTACAGTCAATTTCCTTTATTTATATATATATATGTATGACACACAGCCTACCTGCTGACTTACAGTCAAAATTACTTTTATCTTCCTGGATAGAAGGGTCTCTAGGTTCTATGTAAATAATTATATCCCAAAGGCGTCCCCTTTAGATATATCTCAATAATTAAAGTGGTGGTTACTTGCTAGGTGTAGCAAAGGTCTCCCTTTGACAGGTGATTAGTTAAATTAAAGATTAATATTTTTAGGGTAAAATATGTTATGTGTTATTAGTGATAATAATATTATATTACAATAGTGTTAGGAAGTATTAATTATTAGATCAATAATTAAAATATTGTTATCAACATGATCCTTCAGACTTGGTCTAAACCAAGTCTTTTTATACCTCTTGAGGTATTGCAAATAACATGACTTCTACTCTATTTTGTCCAATAAAATATGCTTATTAATGCTAAATAAATATTTGGGTCAACTGAGCATTACAAAATGATAATTAATAATTCAAAGTAAATATTTGCATCAGCTGAACAAGTTCTTGAAATATAAATATAGAAATATGAATAGAAATAATTGTTCGTGTGATACTGCGCAGTAGGTTCACAAAAATAGAAATGAAGTGATGGTAATCACGTGACTTCTACAGTAATTTGGTTTGGTTGGATAGGACCCCGGAAACTTATATTAGATGTTCCCGTCATGTAGACTGGGTAAAGTTTATATAAAAAATTTCCAAAAGTTGCCGGCTAAGCTATAGGTAAAATTAATAGTACCTTAAAAATTGTTCAAGTTTTTACAGGGTAAAGTTTTTTTTGCCTCCTGGCTAGTATAAGGGTAAATTTATTATTAATTTATAAAATGTTCCTGTTAGTAACAGGATAAAGTCATATATATAAAATATAGTTGGTGTTACCGCACCATATGATCAATTTGAAATTTTTTTTTTTTTTTTCACAAAATTTCTCACAAAAATAATGGAGAATAATGGGGAATGCTCACAACAAAAATGTATACAAACGACCCTTGATTTCCCTATAATATCTATTACACATTTTGATTCAAGCCACAAAAAGGGTAAAATAAATCTATAGACCATAATAAAGAAACTATACCTTCTAATACAATAAATCAGCCGCAATAGACAACCCTTAATTTCCCTTTAATTGCTGACAATACTCATAAAAAACATTCCTTTGATGAAATTGATGCAAATAATGATACAGATGGTGATGAATCCAATGAACATAATGATAACTTAGATGAATGCAGTAATGATGAATACAACGAACTTCCACTTGATGGAAAACCTTATATGTGTCCTAAGGAAATAAAATTGTGCAGACATAAATATTTTTCATGGCTAATTAATCCAAACCATATTCGATGCATATATGGAAAAGAATTAAAATTAGATAAACAGTACTCACTAAAAAACTTAAAAATGTAAGAAATATATTTATATTTATATTTTTATTAAAAAAACAATTTAATTGATTCAATTTTTTCCAGTCATATACATAGCAAAAGAGCATGCAGTGCCAAAGCACAAGGTCAAGATTCATTAGATATTTATTCATTTTTTAATGCAGATGAAACACATTCACATTTAGTTTCTATTTTAATAGCAAGGATGATTAATTAAATAAATAAATAATAAATAATAAATAATAAATAATAAATAAATATATAATTGTAACAAACATTTAAAAAAAGGGTCCCGACTAATAGAAGGGTAAAAAACATATGACAAAAAAAAATGTTCCTATTAATGACAAGATAAAGTTAATATATGATAGGCTGAGTAAAAAGACTACATATAAAATTTGCCCAATTTTGCCGGGAACATCTGATATGAGTTTCCGGGGTCCTGGTTGGATCGGCAAAAGTGGGGACCTCTCTATCGGTCCTTATTTTACTGTCTCACAACCTTCCCCTCCTTAAGATTCAATTGTCTCTTGATGAATCACTTTGCTTTCCCTTCCTCTTCAGGTCTCTTCTTATTCTTGCCTGGTTTCCTCCTCTTCCCAGTTTTGGTTTGTCTTCAAGAGTTCCAGCCTCCTTTTCTTTCTGGTATAGTTCTTTAGCCCATTATTTGACACATTCTCCACATGAGACATTTCTTACCACCTGATGAACCCATGGCCTATCCAGTGGTTTTTCACAACATTCACATTCATAGGGTAGTAAAGTTTTTTTGAGTTGTTGCATATTCCTATCAAGATAAACTATGAATCTATCTTGATAATCTTTGTTTCACTGATATAGATATTCATATATATCTTCTGGTCAATTGTTTTCCTTGTTATCATTGTCCCACTGTTCTTTGTAACATGGATTTTCATTTTGTCCTTCAATGTAAGTGCAAAGGATTCTTTTCCCAATGCTTATTAATTCACTGTTGAGATAGGGACAAAGACAGCTGTGACAAAGATTGATTTGATTGTTCTGATGTCTATGATGTCTTCTCAAGTCCAGAAGCTTTGGCAATTTCTCAACAATCACTTCTCTGTGGTCATGAAATGCTTGGTTCATTCGATTGATATATTCTTGTTTGATAGAATATTCTTCTTGGTAATTGTGGAAAAAATCTGCTGTTCTCTTCATTAACCAGTCATATTCTTCCTGCAATCTTTCTTGAGCATTAGCTCATGTCTCATTAGTTGGTGATATTCAATTTATGCTGGTCAACCATGGAGTTTGATGTAATAGGCTTCTGCAGCCTTTAGAACATCTCCTTCATCTTCAGAACAATTTTTTGTTTCAATGTAATTTTTGACTTTTTGTGGTATGTGTTGAAAGTTGTTTGCCATTACTACTGATAAGTATGCATACTAGCAGATATAAGAGCAAACATCATTCTGCCAACTGATGTTGACTTTTGTGGTCATGGGTAAATCACAAACTTTACATGGTGAGTTATACCATGATTCTCAGGTGATATCATAGGATTTGTTTTTGGTGTAAGAATTGCACAATTGGTGATATCCCCATTTCCAACCATCATTTGTATCTAATTTTGTTGTAGGTCTTTTGCACTTACAACAAATGGTAATTCATACATCTTCTTGCAGTTGTCCAATTGAAGTGTTCCTTGGCTTTTTGTTGTAATATTTTTCTTGTCACATTTGCATGGCAATGGTTGACTTTTATATTTTAAAGTTTATTGGTTGGAATTCTACAATGGTTGAATAATCATGGTC